CAGGAAAGGTTTACTTTGACTTGGAATCGTCACAAGCCAACCACTGCTTCACGTTATAGTAAATCACATTGAGAATAAATCATAAATGGGAGCTTCATGATGTGAAACCCAACAAAGAAGTCGAAACCATGTGTTCTTGCATCTCTTTCATCTTTCTTTTCCTTTTCTCCTTCCTCACTAACTTCACAGTTTCTGCTCAAAACCCTAATTTCATATACCATGCTTGTCCAAATACAACTACTTATTCAAGGAACAGCACTTACTTCACCAATCTCAGAACCCTTTTGTCCTCTCTTTCTTCCCATAACGCCTCTTACTCAACCGGATTCCAAAACGCCACAGCTGGTCAAGCCCCCGACAAGGTCACGGGGCTTTTCCTCTGTCGAGGAGACGTCTCCCCTGAAGTTTGCCGTAGCTGCGTGGCCTTTTCCGTCAATGAGACCTTAAATCGGTGTCCGAACGAGAGCGAAGCCGTGCTCTATTACGATGAGTGTATGCTCAGATACTCTCACCGAAATATACTGTCGACCGTTACACTCAAGGGAGGAGCGATCATGTTGAACAGCAATAATATTTCATCAAACCAAGTAGACCGGTTCAAAGATTTGGTGTCGTCCACGATGAACCAAGCTGCAGTCGAAGCAGCGAGTAGTCCTAGAAAGTTCTATACCAGAAAGGCCAACTGGACGGCAATCCAGACTTTGTATGGCCTGGTTCAATGCACTCCTGATCTTACAAGTGTAGATTGCTTGAGCTGTCTGCAACAATCCATCAATGGAATTCCTCTTTACAGAAGTGGAGGAAGACTTCTTTGGCCAAGCTGTAATTCAAGGTACGAACTTTACGCGTTCTACAACGAAACCGCCATTAGAACATCATCACCACCCCCACGGCTTCCGCCTGCGTCTACTCCTCCGGTATCATCTCCTCCACAACATGGTGAAAACTCTCCCTCTCTGTTCTTCCTCTGTTTTTTACCCTCATTTCATCTGCCACTATCTGAACTTTAAGCAAATGATCTTTGAAAAGCAGGGAAAGGTGGGAAATCAGGTGTTTTATTGGTAGCCATCGTTGTGCCTATTACAGTGGCTGTTCTGCTTTTCATAGCTGGTTATTGTTTCCTTGCAAAGAGAGCTAAGAAGACTTATGATACAGCACCTGCCTTTGATGGTAAAGACTCAAATAATCATAATCTTTATTGGTTTAATTACTAAGGCTTTTATTGTGCAGCAGGAGATGATATGACAACCATAGAGTCGCTGCAACTTGATTATAAAATAGTTCAAGCTGCAACAAATGATTATTCAGAAAATAATAAGATTGGTCGAGGTGGATTTGGTGAGGTTTATAAGGTACTATCACTATGGGTTCCTTAATTGAGCCTGAGGTTGTGTACTTTTTATTGAAATGTTGTGTCAACACATTTATATAACGAGATGATACTGATGAAAACCGATAGGGTACATTTTCGAATGGGACTGAAGTTGCGGTGAAGAGACTGTCAAAATCATCAAGACAAGGTGACACAGAGTTCAAGAACGAGGTTGTTGTTGTTGCAAAGCTTCAACATCGAAATCTGGTTAAGCTTCTCGGATTTTCTTTAGAACGAGAAGAAAGGATATTGGTCTATGAGTATGTGCCAAACAAAAGTCTTGATTACTTCCTCTTTGGTCAGTTGCATTTATTGCTTTGTTTCAATGATTGTTTAGCCATTTTTGAAACTGTACGTTGCAAATATTTAGATTTAACTGTGAATCATATGTATGTGCAAACACAGATCCTGCAAAGCAAGGTCAGCTAGACTGGACTAGACGATACAAGATCATTGGAGGGATTGCTCGGGGGATTCTATATCTTCATCAAGACTCACGGCTCACGATCATACACCGTGATCTCAAAGCGAGTAACATTCTCTTGGATGCAGATATGAATCCAAAAATTGCTGATTTTGGAATGGCAAGGATCTTTGGAATGGACCAAACCCAGGAGAACACAAGCAGAATAGTTGGCACGTAGTAAGTCTTCCACTTAACTTCTCATAGGTTGAAGTTTGTTGAACATGATTTTGACAACATACTAAAGTTTTGTTGTGGATTCTAGCGGATACATGTCTCCCGAATATGCGATGCGTGGCCAGTTCTCAATGAAATCTGATGTCTATAGCTTCGGAGTGCTAGTTCTTGAGATTATAAGCGGTAAGAAGAATAGCAGCTTCTACGAGACAGACGGTACACATGACCTTGTCACATATGTAAGTATAAAGGCAATCATGTTTTCTGTTAACCTCTCTTACAAAAAAAAAGCCATGGTTGCAAGAACTGATTAATTGGTTGATATTCAAGGCTTGGAAGCTTTGGAGTAAAGAAACAGCACTAGACCTTGTGGATCCAACTATTGTAGATAATTGCCAGAAGAGTGAAGTGGTTCGATGCATCCATATCGGTCTTTTATGTGTGCAAGAAGATCCCGCGGAGCGTCCGACCTTTTCAACCATTTTTGTGATGCTCACTAGTAATACTGTGACTTTACCGGTGCCTCGACAACCAGGGTTTTTCGTTCAGAGTAGACCTGAAAAAGATCCGCTTGATTCAGATCAGTCTACGACAACCAAGTCTATTCCAACCTCTGTTAACGATGTATCGATCACTGATTTATATCCTCGTTGAATATGGAAAGTATATGGTATTAGTATTAGCCTTCACACTTGAACCCATTGAGCAAGACCAAGTATCTATCTATAATTAAAATTATAAAAATAAGAAGTACAAGTCTAATTTTTAGTATATTAAAAAGAATCATAAGTCTGATATTTGGTCTGTATGATCAATCATTACCCTGGTAAATTTTCTGGTAATTCTGTAGAAGTTAATATCCGTTACAAATAAAAGAAGTCTACTAAGGATTCGAGTTTGTTATGTTCCATCGCTATATCCAATAAGGAATGAGGATTGGATTCTGTCCGTGCAGGTATTGTCCTAATAGAAATATTATCCACATTTACAAAGTTCTTGCAACTAATCCTATATAAAGCTCAATGTTCGAAGTATGCACCTTAGAATTTGTTTCAGAAACAGGGGAAAACAGAGTAGTGTGGGGGGGGGGGGGGGGNGATTTACATGGTTTGTATTGTTGTGAAGTGGTTTTGGATATTGTGGTTTTGAGTGGAAACAAAGCATGTAAAGAACTTGTCAAACACCTCACCACCTGTATCCAGTTTTAAGCTTCACATGATTTGTTTCAATATAAAACCGAGGGACTGGTGAGATGTTCCACAAAGGTTAACACAACTTAGAACATTTCCTCCAATGATCAGAACTCTAAACTAACTTATCTTAATATTACTACAGATTGTTCACGCATTGCGTGGATTTAAAAATTAACATGGTAAAATATGAAAAAATTCTAGTTTATTGATTATTTGTATATTTAATATTACAAAAAATGTTGTTGTAATAAATAATTATCTAGGTTAGAAGATTAAGCATTTGAAAAAAATTGGTAGACATATATAATGTTATATGTGAAATAAATAGATTGTACATGAATAAAAAGTACATTGTATGCATATGGAAGATATCTTCTTTTGCACAAATCCGTAATTTGTATTTCTTTATAATTTATCAATATTCACTACGGTTCCCTATAAAAATCTTTGGTCGTCTTTTTTCTTGCATCAAATATGTTTGTAAAATAAATATATTGATCAAACATGTTGTAGTATATTTTGCTTCTTTCGAGACATCTTTATCTCAACAGAGATGCTGTAATATATCTTTGTATTTTATTTCGTTAGAACTTTAAACTGTAAGGAAATAATAATTGATGTTTGATTGTATTTTTTTGTCTTACTCTTTTTATTGCTTTTCTATGATTTTTATCCTTCACATCGATTCATCTGTGAATTATTATGTTTTTCTGGATTCACAATTTGTGAATGAGTAAGGTTTCCTTTCGAGAGTGTTGGTTAAGAGATGATTGACAACTTTAGCATTTTAACAACCATAAAATTCCTAAAATCAATAATTAATTTTCTCACACCATTTTTTTTTTGTTAATGTTACGATTCTTTTGATTAAAGATTTTTGTTACTTTTTGTTTTATAATCGTAGTTATCTATCTAAAGTTTTAAATGTTTTTGTATAGTATATTGATGGGTTTAACAAATAAAATATATATTTTTAAAATCATGAAAAGTTTACAATAACACATTTAATTTGAAATTATAATTTTTAGTGGATATACAAAAAAAAACTGAAATTGGTCATCTTTATGTTATACTTTAATTTTTGGAACTGACTTACATTAAATTTATCTATTAAATTATAGGAATTAATTGTTAAAGTTATTAAAAATACTTAATTTTTTTTCAATAAATAAATAAGAAAGATAAATTTCAAAAGAATATGTGACACATGACATTCTCTCATGACTTGAGTTTAGAAAATGGTTAATTAGTTAAATAATATGTTTGAGTATGAGAATTAATAAAGTAACATGTGTACTTTGTAAATTTAGTAAGTAGCAAAAATAAGTAAATTTTGACTATTTTACCCTTTCAATAAATTTAATTACAGTTATCACATTTAATGCATATTTAATGCAAATTGTTCTTAAGGTAAAAAATAAATAATAATTTTGAAAATAATTTGAATTTGACATATATTTTTTCGTTTTTTCTGCATTTTTCGTTTTTTGTTCTTTCTATAATTGATTATTTTTTTAAACTTTACATATATAAATTATATAGTGAATTATATCATATACTAGATACTATTGACATAAATAGTAAACTATTTCGCTATTTAAATACAAAATAGTCAACTTTATATTAGTATAATTAACTACTTGTTTGAGTATAATGAATTACATGCTTCATATACTGAAAATACGTAATAGTAATCTATTTGTGAGTATATTTTATTTTTATAGAATAGTGAACTATTTGTGAATATAGCAAGCATAGTTGATTGTTTGTGAATAAATTTAACTATATAGAAGACTATATATTTATATATAGCTAACTATACATGGATATATAACTAACTCTATTTATTATATATATTTCTAACTATATAGATAATAGTGTATTATTTGTGAATATAACTAGTATAGTTGTCTGTTTGTGAATTTTTGTACTATATAGATAACTATAGGTGGATATATATAGTTAACTATTTATAAAAAACAAGTAATTATATTTAAAAATAGTTAGTTATATATCTACCTATATACTCACTTACAAACAAACAAAAATAGATTATAGTGAACTATTCGTAAATATAACAAATAAAGTTGATTGTTTGTGAAGAAAATAAAATATAAAAATAAGTATATTTGGGTACATAATTAACTATATAAGTAATAAAAATAAAAATTATAGCCAGATATATCTAGATACATAGTTAACTACATATATAAATATATAATTAATAGAATTGAAAGTTATAAACCTTTATGATATTGGTTATTATTTTTTCTTTTTCTAATAATAATGTAAAAAAATACGAATATTAATTATCTTGAATCATTTTTTTAAATATGAGAAATAAATAAATTGACATGAAAGGAATAATGTATTAAATGAAATAGTAATGAAAAGAGTTATGAGACCAATTACCATAAATAAATGGAACACTAGAACTATCACCATATAAGGATATATAATGATGGCAGCTGAACCTTCCAATTCGTACCTCTCCATCAAACGAGAAAGTACTGTTACAAACTTACAATTTTTTCCTTTCATGTCTTACGAAATCATTAATTGGTTAAATTTTCAAGCTATGCGGATGAGTTTGAAGAAAGCTACTTGTGGAACATTGGGAGAGTCTCCTCTTTAGTACTAAAGACAGTAGACAACTTTAGAAGAAAATGGAATTCAGCTTTTGCTACTAAGCAAAATTCCTCGGACGCTTTCTGTTGTTGAAATCTTAAGTAACATGGAAATTGGATATAGACCTCCCGGTTTGTCCTTGAATCATCATCTTATGTAGAAAAGGATTTTTAAAATCATGAATTCAATAAACTCTAGATT